GCCCCGGGGCCCTGTCACTGTCCCAGCAGGGGGGCCGCCCTCGCCGCTCCCACACCCGTGGGCTGCGGGGAGCCTCGGGGTGTCTAAGGTAGAGGTCATGTTTGGTCACGTGTGCGTTTTGGAGGGAGGCGGGTCGACGGGCCTTGAGGAGGCACGAGGACGGGGGGTCCTGACCCCAAGAGCTGCGAGTGAGGAGCGGAAAGAATCGGGTAAAAGCGGCGGGGCTCAGTGAGTGGTCGGACGCGGGAGGCCAAGGTGGACGCCCCGGTCTCCAGCGTGGGTGCCTGGGGGTTGGCGGGGGCCAAGCTGAGACCGAGAACGCACGAGAGGCGGCCTTGGGGGTAACGATGGCGACTCCTGTGCTTCTGGGAGAGGCGTCCGGCTCACACTGCTTTTCGGCTCAGCACCTGCCAGCGAAACACTCCGCTATTCGAGAGCTGGGCGCCAGCAGTTACGCCCCAGGGTTCGTGGAAAGATGAGCAAACTCAGACCGAACAGCTGAAGCCCAGTAACGGCGCAGAGTGAGCACCGGTGTCTCCGTCACAGTGACGCTTCTATAAACGCGGCTCTCGAAGCCCTCCGCCGTCTGTCCCGTCCTCCTGCGGACTCTCCTCTCCCTGTCTCTCCGGTCGAAATCACAGTCCCTCCAGCTCATCGAACACACTGGCCTCTCTGCGCTCCGGCGGGGGACCTCTCCACCTTCCCCCCTTCTCCCCTTAACCTCGATTCCTCTTTCCCATCTCAGCTAAGATGTCCCTCCCCCTGGGACGTTCTCCACGGCTCCTGAAGCCTGGGCTGGGCGAGGGACTGTCCCGCATGTTCTCGTAGCCTTGACGACATGGGGCCTGCAAGTCCCTGTGCTGGCAGCTCGCGGGCAGGACCACGCCGTCCTGGGGAGCGCAGTCTGCACATTTTGTTCAGATGAATGAATGAATGAATGAATGAGTGAGCGAGCTGGACTTTCAGGGAGAGGTGCAGATAGAAGGTACAGAACAAGGGCTATCAGCCTACGGATGATGGTTAAATTGATCATGAGAGAGACGAGATTATCGACAGCGAGCCCTCTTCATTCTTGATCTCTCACCTTTGACCCTTCTGTTTTTCTGGAAACTGTTCTCCATGGCTCCAAGGACACCCTCTGGTTCTACTTCTGCGTCTTCGGGGAGAGATCGCCTCCGCTCCCTCTGCTCTCTTCCGCCCCAGCCATCCCTCGGCCGTGCATTTCCCCCATAATCACCTCCACGTCCAGCCTCACCTCGGCCGCTGAACTCCTGATCTGCATTTCCAGCTGCTCATACGCACTGCAGCTGAACCTTTCGGAACAAGCCACGTGGACAAGGCCATTGTCCCCACCCTCACTCCCACGCCACCAACCAGACTCTCCTCCCCTGTCATCAAACGGACCTCTGTCCACGCACACGACACCGAACTGTCTCGATTCCTCCTGCCTCCCGCCCTCCACATCCTTCCTCTTACACATCTTGCCGTTTCGGAGTCTGGGACTTGACTTCTCATTTCCTTCGCACGGCCACAGTCCAAGTTCCGGCTTCCATGACGGGTCGCCTAGACCAGCGGTCCCCAGACCTTTCTGGCCCCCGGGACCGGTGCTCCTAGGAGGATCTGAGGTGGAGCGGAGGCGCTGATGCTGGCGCTGGGGAGCGGCCGCCATCTCCCCCGCTGTCCCCTCCTGCAGCCCGGTCTGTGGCCCAGGGGTCGGGGACCCGTGGCATAGGCTATTATAATAGCTTCTGAGTGGGCCAGTCTGTCGCCAGGGACCTTTCTAAAACCCGAGTCTGATCAGGCCGCTTTTCCTCTCCAAGACCTTCCAAGGCTGCACAGCCGGGTGAGGCCGAGCCCCTGACCGAGGCGTGCGGTGGCTTCACAGTCTGGCCCGGACACGCTTGTCCAGCCTCATCCCTCCCCAGCCCACGCGCCAAGCTCTCCACAATCTGTCTCCGCACTGTGTCCGAATTAGCTGTTTTCTCTCAGAACCCCCGCGTCCACGAGTCAGGACCGGCCCTGACCAATCGCGGATCTGAAGGGCCTAGCGGAGGCCTAAGAAGCAAGCATATTCTGCATAACTGGCTCTCGCCACCACGTCCAGGGAGCGGCATGTCACCAAACCCGCCCAATCCGACGTCCAGCTCAGTGTGTGACACGGGACGTGCTCGGTTAAGGTCTGGGGGAATTGCTGGCAGCACGGAATGTAAACCCCACGAGGACAGGACCTTTATTTATGACTTTTGAACTGAAATACATTTGACATATAGCACGGTATAAATTTCAGGCGGACAACACGTTGATCCGGTGTGTTTACGTGGCTACCACTGTCGCGCACTCTATTTCGGTCACTGTAGCATCTCTTGTCTAACGGTGTCTGACGCAATAGGTCTGAACAAATATTTGTTGAACGGAGGAGGGAATGAAACCCTCACCTGGAGCCCCCTTTCCCGTGGCATGGCCCATCTCGGGCATTTTCCTGGTGGAGTGAAGGTAGTTGGCACCACGACGCGGCCCCCGTCGGGGCTGGTTTCCTCAGCGTCTGGATCTCGTTCGGAGAAAGCTGATCTTCCCCACGGCCAGTGCGGAGGACCGATTCTGGGCCGGCCGCGGGTTGCGTGGGCGTAATATCCCGACGCTGACTTGAACTTAACTAAGGCTTCTTCTCGTCTTAGCTGAAGCTTCGGGCCATGAAAGATCATTCCGGTCTCCCACGTGGTAAGGTCGATATCAGAAATATTAAAGAGAAATTGGATATCGAACGAAGTTACACTGAGCGTTTTGGTTTTCGGGGGGGAAGAGGGTGTCGCTTATTTATAAAACCAGAGGTGCCAGTGCTTCTCAAAGTGGGTCCACATCAAATTCAGATACACTGTGAGAAGCGTGGATTTGGGCTCCTCCTCAAACGAACTGAATCTGATTTTCTGGAGGCGGGGCCTGGAGATCTGCATTTTCAGCACAGTTGGCCCCGTATCCGGAGCAAGCTCTCACGGCTCCAAGGACACTACGGGTTTTATTTCGCCTACTGCTTGGGTTACAGCACCTTTTGATTCTCTTTCATTGGCTGCTTTTTCTCAAGCTCTTTGGAGATTTTTTCCCCTATAATTTCACTATCACTTAGAACTGTTCTAACTACTCCCCCGAACGCAGGTATTTCCAGTGTTCCCATTGGGCACTCTGCGTGGTCAGCGAAGGCCCCAGGGGACTTCCGTGCTCTGAACCTCAAGAGCAGCTTCACGGACGCTCCCTCTGTTCCCTTCTTCCCGTCCAAATCCTGACTGATTCAAAAGGGAGACTGAGTATAGAGCAGGTGACACAGATCAGTCCGTACACATCACCCATCGCAGTCGCTTAAGTGGCAGACATTCCTTCAACGGCTGCAAGACAACGGCTATGAAGTCTGCCCATTAAAATGCCATGAATAAATATCAGACGCCTCGCTTATTGCTTGATAGGTACCCTCAGTGTTTCTGACCAGTGCTTCTCACTGACTGTCTCCCAGGGCTCGGGTCCCAGCCCAGGCTCGGGCCGGGCGTGGGTGCCTTGAGGTGCGTTAGGATGTAGTGAGGGCAACAGATAAAAGGAGCAAAAATGAAAACGAAACCAAAACCAGGTCGATTTTGTCAAGTCACGGGGCTGAGGCCTGGGCCCTACACGGGGGAATCACCGTGGGCGCCTTTCATTGGTCTCGCCCCAGACCACATGACTCAGAAATCTGAGCGCCTGAAAGCCACTAAGGCTGGCCGGAATGCTCCCGGGAGCACGGGGACAGCAGTTCAGATGGCACGCCCCCGGCCCTTTGGGACGGGAGGGTGCTCTTAAAGCTGCTAATCCAGATCAGACCCCTGTGCCCAAGTCCGGCTGCCTCTGTCACAGCCAGCGTGACCTATGGGCACTGACTGTCAGAACAGGGCTGAAACAGACAAATGCTTTCGGAAGACTATCTCGAACGTGTGCCGCTCACGGTGCTTGAGTCCTTCGATTGTCACTAAGTGTCACTAGCCTTGGCATTCCTCAGCATCCCCACGTCACAGGCGAGGAAAGTCTCAGAACGGTTAGGTCACTTCCTCAGCGTAACTCAGCTGGTGAGCCGCGCAGTCAGGATTCAGACTCATGCCTGCTGGCTCTAAAATGCGTGCTCTTTCCACCATACTTGGCTGTCTGTTATATCAAAAGAGGAAGGAAAAAAGGCTGCTTGTCTGTCCTTTGGGGCAGTGTGTGTCTTTGGTCTGTTGAGGGAGGAAGAGCATGGCTATAAAGATGAAGGATCGTGCTGTGTACGAAAAGAAGGAAGGGGAAGTTGGAAATCATTTCCTAGAAAGCTTCCTGGGGAAGCCGTTCAAAGCAGGTCAACGCTGGCAGATGACGATGACTGACAGAGCCTGGTGCCCAGGAGGACGGGCAGGCGGGAAACGGGACCGTGCAGGGCCGTCTCGGGAGCAGCGTGTGTGGGCGCAGAAAGCACTGTGGGATCATGTCCAGTAACCGAGGGACGGCCCGGGGCGGCCAGAGCCGGCAAGTTCTTGGGTACCGGGCACAGGAGGCCCACCTGTTCCCTGGGCAAGAAAGCCTCGTGGGACCTGAAGGCCAGCAGTGACGGTGCGTGAGCTGGTCAGAGCGTGCACTGGCCTCAGAACGTGTGTGGGGTCGAAGTCGGGGAGCCTGGAGGCCCCATGGCGACTGTAGTCAGCCAGGACCACACACAGGGTGGTGGCAGAGAGATGACATGCAGAGGAAGGATGAGCAGAGGGCAGGATGAGAGACAATTCGGAGATGAGTCCCCCAGGGCCTGAGTTGATGTTGCAGGCTGCTGGGTGGAGGGGAGAAGGGGTGTGATCAGGAAGATGGAGTCAGATGGTGTCAAGGACCCAACAGAGGTGGGTACGTTTATCCAGGGCCGGAAGAGCAGAGGGCCTGGAGTTTGGGGGTGTGGAGCTCAAGGCGGTGGGAGGAGGGGAGAGGCACGTGAGGCCGCTGACACATCCTGGCCGCCAGGGCAGACTTAGTGTCCACCTGCCGGGGCGTGACGGTCGGCGCCTGTGGCCCGTGGAAGTGTTCCACTCGAGTGGATTCCTGTGAAACGTTAACTGCGTGAACATCGCCGATTCGAAGAAAAGAAAAGTGGAATCAGAAAACCCTGGGTAAGAGGAGTTTCGGAGTCTCTCTCGTGAAACGAAGAACAACGCTCGCTAGCTGGTTAGGTAACTGAAAACCTTCACACGTTACTAAAAAGTCACATGAAGTTAATTAAATCAATTTTTAGGCACCGACTGAGATGTTTCCTACAGAGGGGGCCGAGGGGGTGGGCGGGAGGTGGCAGCACTTAAACTCAGTTGCAGTCACGCCAGATTTCCTCCCCGATGTTTATTTTCCTTCTGGTTACATTTCAGACAATTAATAGTGTCTAATGAGTCAGGGTTTTGTGTAATTACCACCCATGGGTAGAATTTTTCTCTTATGGAATGTTCCTTTTACACAGGCCCTCTGGAAGTGAAAGAAATTTATGGTCATTCATGAAAGCCCCCTACAGGCCAAGAGAAGTGATCAGATTTTGAAATAAATTTATTACTCATCTATATCTCTATTTCGTATCCTTTCAAAAGTTCCAGTAGTTCTCTCTCTCACAAAGAGCCTTTCCTTCCTTCGACTTTAAAATGTTTGAGAGACATGGAAATTAAAATGGGAGACTTCTTTTTTTTTTTTTAATTCCTTGAAATGTGTGGCTTATAGGCCTCCTTTGCCCCAACGCCAGGTGTGAAAGGATTTTAGTGAAAGTTTCATCGCGCCTTTGTCAATAATTAATCCCCCGTTTCTTCGAAGCGTCTGACAATGCGAGAGTAACAATAACAGACCGTAAAACACTCCTCCTTATTGTGCAAGGGCTCATTCTCCCCGACTGGGTGGACTGGAATGTGCTGAAGACACATTCCAGCAGTTTCCACCGGCCTGGAGAGCCACACAGGACTCCGAAGGGAGTGGACGGAACCCTTCTCTCTATTTCTGCTGCTAGAAAGGACTGGGAGGGACCGGGAGGCGCAGTCGAAAAGGCGGGGGGCTGGAAAGTGAAGGGCAGGTTAACCGGGGGCAGGGAGGGGGGCGGGCAGAGCTGCTTTGCGTGTAAAGGATGGGACAAACAAAACAGAGAAAAATCAAACCCAGGGTGAGGACGATTCAAATCAGTTAGGGAGGATGATAGAAAAGCAGACCACATGTCAATCAGTAAAGGCGAAAGGCCGGGGACCGCGTGAGGAAGGCTGAGGCTACTCACCCAGCAGGGGGGTCCTCCCTGCCCCTCTCCACCACGAACTCCAAACGGAAGACGTCTCCACTGGATGACTGAATGGAAACTAATAAAAAATGAATCCTGACGTTCTCCCTGGGATCTAGCCAGTCAACGCTTTAGAATGAAGACAGGCTTCTATAATGGCTTAAACATTTTTTTTTTTTCTAATAACTTTGTGCTTTTAACTTTTTATGTTTTAATTTGCTCTTGCACCCCAATCTTTTTTTCTTAATAACTTCATCGAGGTATGATAACATACCATGAGATTTGCCAGTTTTAAATGTATAATTCAACTGTCTTTATT